GTTTTAGTTAGGCTTTCTATTGATGTGATGAAACCCCATGACCAAGTGGCAAGTTGGAGAGGAAAGGGTTTATTCTGTTTACACTTCCACATCACTGTTTATCATCAATCCACTAGGAGGAGTAGATGGAGGAGAAACCATAATCAGGATACATTATGTGAGGGGAAAAAATCTATTTTCATTACAATGAAAATAAATGTATGAAATAGCATGATATATATAGTGATTCACATAAATTTCACAGATACTGAACATGTATACAAGATTAAGAAGAAGACAGTTGTTAAATATACATTATGTGGATTAGTCTATCTTTATGATTTCCTTAGTTCAAAAGGTAAAATTAATAAGGAGGGAATATAAGCATAGGTTTAATAAATAATGGTTAATAATAAATTACAAGTAATTATTATAATTAATGGATATAATTAATTAATTATAAAATTAAGAAATAAGGAATACCAAATTTTGTCATACAAAATTTAATAATTTGATCTGTATGCAATGTTTTATGTTGCAAGCATATGCCTGCCTGCAAATATTTAACTTAAGAAAAATAACAACTCAGAAGAAATATTTAAATATCATAAATAATCTATGAAAATAATAAGAATGAAAAGTAACTTAATCAGCAAAGAGGAAGATAGGAAGGAAGAAAGAAAGGGGGGAAGAAGAGGGATAGAAAAATGGATGGAAGGGGGAAGAGAGAGAAGGAGGGAGAGAAAAGACTGGTTACAGTGTCTTAAGGGTTTATTACTGTGATGAGACACAATAAACGTGGTGACTCATTAAAAAAAGCTTTTAATTGGGGCTGGCTTACAGCTTCAGAGGTTTAGTCCATTATCAGCATGGCAAGAAGCATGGCATCATGCAGGCAGACATGGTGCTGGAGGAGCTGAGAGCTCTATATCTTGATCGACAGGCAGCAGAAAGATTGTATGCCACACTGGGAAAAGCTTGATCATATAAATCCTCAAAGCCCACCTCCATAGTGGCACACTTCTGCCAACAAGGCCATGCCTACTCCAATAAGGCAGAAGTTACTAATACCTAATAGTGCCACTCCCTATGGGCCAAGCATTCAAACACATGAATCTGTTGGGGCCATTTCTGTTCAAACCACAACACATAGGAAAGTGAAAGCATCCAACTACTTTCAAAAGATGGAATAGTGAAACTACCCCAGCACAGAAATAATGACATGAAACTCAATGGAGAAAGGGTGGAGTGGAGGAACACCCCAAACAAATCAGGAAAAGCAGGACATAAACTAGGAGATACAAGTAAAGTAGTTCAAAGTCTGTATAACTCTGAACAGAAGGCAGAATTGTATGCAATTCTTATGGTACTTATGGATTTGAGCTTCTCAATATAGTTACTGACTCTCAATATGCAAAGAGAGTCATTTTGCACATCAAGACCGATGAATTCATTCCTGACAATACAGAATTAACTTCACTGTCTGTACAATTACAAGAAACTATCAGGAATAATACCCATCCGGTATATATAACATACATCAGATTCCATATGGGTCTGCCAGGTCCCCTGGAACAAGGCAATGATGAGATTGATTGTTTATTAATAGGAATGTGCTAGAAGCCTCAGCATTTCATAAGAAACACCATGTAAATAACAAATGTTTAAAAAAGGATTTTTCCATCACTTGGCAACAAGCCAAGGAGATAGAAAGAAACTGCCCTACCTGTTCATTCTATAATCAAGCTCCTTTGCCAGCAGGCAGTAATCCCAAGGGCATTCATAGAAATTAGATTTTGCAGATGTATGTGTTTCGCTTTCCAGAATTTGGAAATTTAAAATATGTATACCATACTACAGACACATTTTCAGGGTTCCAATGTGCTACTGCTCTTAGCTCTGAAAAGGCTGATTCTGTTATAACATACCTATTACAGGTAATGGCCATTATGGGTATACCTGCCAAAAAAAAAAAACTGACAATGCTCCAGCATTTGTCTCTAGCAAATTGGAACAGTTTTTCAAATATTATAACATAAAGCATGTAACTGGTATACCACACAATCCTACAGGACAAGCAGTAGTAGAGAGCTCTAACCACACCCTAAAAGAAATGCTCCATAAACAGGCAGGGGGAACAAAGACTCCCAAACACAGATTACATAATACTTTATTAACACTAAACTTTCTTAATGCTAATGAGAAAGGACAAACAGCTGCAGAAAGACACTGGACTACAGAAAAAACTTCTGAACTGAATCAGCTGGTGTACTTCAAAGATGTATTGACCTCAGTATGGAAACCAGAATATGTGTTACTTTGGGGAAGGGTTTTCGCCTTTGTTTCCACAGGAGAAGAAAAGCTTTGGATACCATCAAAGTTGATCAAGATTCGGGTAAAAGGCAAAACCTCTCCATGAGGAGAAATGATAGGTTATCAACCAAGGTATATCTCATGAACTGTATAGAAACCTCACAAAGGAAAGGGAAATGTTTTGTTCTTATCTTCACAGGAAAACTCATCTCTAGAAAGCAAAAAGAAACTGCATGGACAGATACATAAAGATGAGAGGATAGCTATCCAAAAAGAGCCATCAAACAAAAGGGATTTGTCATATGGTAAACTCTAGAACTGTCTCTATATAAAATCTATTTCTCTTTACTTCCTAGTCCCTATTCAATTAAACCAACACTGCCTTTAGAGTTGGATTTGGCTTTCCTCCTCTAAATCCAAGCATGTTGTTGAAATAAAATTCAGAGTTTCTGTGTTATATCAAGAAGCCAATTGATGTAAGACAGAAAAAAAATTTTTGGACTGTCATTTGTCTATTCTCAGTTCTTTCTCTGAAAGTCTAAGTTCCCTCATAATTATTATCTTCCCTTTTGTTGTCCTTCCTGGTATACATACATATAAATGTTGAAATTTCTCTGCTGACGTTAATGTTTAAGTTCCCCACAATGAATAAAGAACTTCCTAACAGCAATCTTTGAACTCTCCAGAAAGAAAATGGGGCCCCACCTCATCGATTCCACTGGATTCAACTTCATGCCTTTGAACTGACAATCTCCATTCTAAACTCGGCTTGGAATACATCACTCTAGACAGCTCCAGAACAGCTAGCTGAGACAGTGCATGTTCTAATTGTACTCTGGCCAGAGCTTCAGATAAGAACTTCAATCAAAACAAGGACTTCAATCAAGATAAGGACTTCAACAAAGAACTTCAATCAAGCATCTCCCACCAAACACAGACTGGATACAAGTGTTGTAGACAGTCCACTCAAGACTTTCACTACTCTTAACATTTTCTTCCTACAGGACTCCACAAGGCTATCATTGTCCCATTTCAGCAGGAAGTAACTCTGAGAATACTATGCCCCCTTTCCCCACTGTTGACACTAAGGATAATGTACACCTAGTTAGGGCTAGTTTCCTATTGTTTAGGGTTGGGTTTGGAAGAAGGTGTTCAGGTTTGGACATCTCTTTCAGATGACTTTAGAGTTTAGATGGAATAGATGTAGTTATGATGAGATATAGGTAGATTATTATATCTTCTTGTGTGATTCACCTTTTTGATTATTAACTATAGACAATTTATACTGTTATAGATCCTTGTATGATGTAACTTATGTATAATTTGCAAGTCACAAGTTGTCTTACTGTGTAAAGTCTTCTCTCTACTTACAATAATGTATGCTCTTACATATGTTAAGACATTTTGTACACAATTTAGTTTGTATCAAGTTTAAATCCTTTTCTTAAATGAAAAGGGGAATTGTAGGGAGAGACCCTGATACCTGTATCTATGACCATGCCTGGCTGGGTATGATCACAGGTACATAAAGGGTGGATAAAGGGCGAGGAGGAACCGGGCACTCCTCTCTCTCTCTCTCTCTCTCTCTCTCTCTCTCTCTCTCTCTCTCTCTCTCTCTCTCCTTCTTTCTTGGGAAGCTTCTGGGACTGGACTTCTTGGAGTGCCAAATCTGGTTACAGATTCCTCGTGTGAGTAAATATTTCCCAATAAATTACCAGTTAATAACCTATCTCGGGTTCCATTCTCATTCCTCATTAGTGGAGGATATCTGTGAAAAAATGAAATGTATGAAATGATGGGGAAGTGGATCAAAAGCTAAAAATATTGTATAGCATTGGGTGTTTCTATTACACACAGAGAAAGAGAGAGAAAAATCTACATGTGTAAATCAGGATTCTGCTTTGTTTTAAAACATGAGAACTCAAGAGAATCAAGGGGACTGGTAGAAACCACATTATCTTGTGGGGAAAACCATCCCAGACGTTCCCTAAGGAGATGACACTACTGAAAGTACACACATATGGGCACACAGAAATACATCCACACACAACCATGCAGATCATCACATACTTCATGGGAGGCTTAGCAAGGAATGGCCCCTCTGCCTCTTTTTTAATAGACAATGAGTATACAATGTTAGGTTATGAAGTACACTTTAAACCTAGTCAGTAGATTAATGAACTTCTCTCTCAGTATATTGCATTAACTCATTTTACACTGAGTATGCCTTCTTTGGTTTTGCAGCTCTTTATATCTTGGTATTTTCAAATAGGGGAAGAATTTCCATGTTAGGATGTCCTTATGAAGAAAAGGGACAACAGCCTCTTCATGGTAACAGAAAATTCAGCTGAAGCTATGTTTAATACTTGCCTTCAGTAAATGTGTTCATAAAATACGATGAGCTAAGACACCATATTTCTCTCTGTGGAGTCAGCCACTATTAGTGCACATAAATGTAAATGGAATTTTGTCAACAAAAAAGTTTCAAATTTAGCATCCATAACCAACATACTATATTTAAAACGTTAGTGGCTCACAGAAATAAAGCAGATTCCAAATTGCCTAACAGAGGAAAAAAATCAGAGGACTTTAATGGAAAACAAAGTGAACTTGTTTTTTTTAACATGAATTAGATAATCATCAACAAAATTTTTACAATACTAGTTTTGTGAGTTGTAAAAACTGTCTCTCAGTTTTATTGTATCTTGATGATATTCCTATCTATTAATTATATCTTGCCCAAATTACCCAGTATGTTTTATTATCAAATAAAATAATTACATGGCACACTTCATGTCCCAGTGGATATGTCCTCATGCTATTTTCTGTTTCATTGTATGAAGCAGGATTGTATTAGCTTTGCAAGTTCACCAAAAAAATATTGACTATGGGAAATACAAAACAAATTTGGTGTTGTTTCCTCACAACTATTTACACTCTACATTTCTCCAACATGGGATATTTCAAAAGCTAATTTCTGTAATTTACCTAATTATTCAGCTTAGCTTTAGGGCACACTCATCAACACCATCTCTCTCCAGAGATGTTTTAACTATGCTTTGCTGGAAGAATCCCTTGTGTCTGTTTTAAGGAGGTGAAAACATAAAATGAAAATGCTTCTTCTGCAAAGACTACTTAGAAAAAAACATTTTCTAATAGTAGTGTAAAAAGAAAAATTTTAAATTACAACCCATCTTTCTTTCCCAAGGGTTACTGGAAGTCAAAGTGGAAAATGGTGTTTGTTGATTTTCATAGTTCCCATGGTAAGGATTTTGTTCTTTCTTGGGATTTTGGAAAACAGGTACTTGCTGTTAGACCTACAACCGGGAATTTCAAGTCACGTCCTGTCTCAACAACTTCCTCTCATCGGTCATGTAGCTCACTGTCTTCCACAGATTTTGATTCTTGATTCTTACTCACACTTCATGACTTTTCCTCCTTTACCAGATAAGAACTTCACTTGAGGAGCAAACAAAATATACAGCTTTGTCGCCCCTTAGCTGTGAGTATTGCTTCAAATACCTTGACAATATGCCTGCTTTCTTCCCTTTTTTTCTTTCTTAGTTTTGTTCCTTTCTTCCCCCTCTCTCTTTCCCACTTTTTCTCTCCATCTATCTTAAATGATATTGAGAGTTCGAACATACCATGACCTCTGGTTCAGAATCCCTGTTGTTTGTCAGCTTCACTGTTCTGTTTCTACAGCCTTTAAATTTATTACTAAATAGTAATTGCAGCCAGAGACACTTTTATTCAATTAAAATAATACTTTTTCAGTTTCAGACTGTCACACATAGTATGAATTGACCTGGGAGTACCTGCCCACTGAGCTTTTTGCTGCTCATTGGGACCCAAGGATTTCTCAATTTTATTAGATTACAAGTTGTAGAAAACACTACTTTGATGAGTTTGGTTTTCGTCTGTTCTACCAACACCCAATACCATATCACCTATCAGACCTCTCCTACTTTAGAGATTTTCTTAATATTCATCCACATAGTATGCTCTTGTTACTGTGTTTAGCCCAATTATCTTTCTGAATTTAAGCTACACAATGTATTACTTTGTAATGTTTGAAAATCACAGTAGACATAAATGAGAAGTGTGAACAATTGTCCAAAAGCAAGGAATCAAACACTGACAATCAGTTTTTAAAAACCCACTGAGCACTGGATTTGCACTCGTCAGCCATGACCACATGGCATCATACAATTTTAAGTCTATTTTCTATTCCATGGTTCACTTATTCTTTTTCCATTTTGTAATTATTCTGTGCCTTTGTTATTATCTAGCTGTTAGAATCTCATCTATAAAGTGAAAAATATTATTTAATTCAATAAACACTAAAAAGGTTTTGTTTTCTATTTTCATTTAAATTCCAAACAAGCTTGTTTTATATGTCAATCCCGGTTCCCTCTCACTCCCCTCCTCTCCTGCCCCCCACTAGCCCCCTATCCCATCCCCTTTCTGCTCCCCAGGGAGAGGGAGAACTTCCGTGGGGAATCTTCAAAGTCTGTCACATCATTTTAAGCAGGGCTTAGCCCCTCCCTGGTGTGTCTAGGCTAAGAGAGTATCCCTCTATGTGGAATGGGCTCTCAAAGTCCATTCATATGCTAGGGATAAATAGTGATTTATAGCAGAGGCCCCATATATTGCTGAGGCATCCTCACTGATACCCATGTTCAGGGGGGGTCTAGATCTGTCCTATGCTGGTTTCCCAGCTATCAGTCTGTGGTCCATGAGCTCCCCCTTGTTCAGGTCAGCTGTTTCTGTGGGTTTCACCAGCCTGGTCTTGACCCATTTGCATATCACTCCCTCTCTGCAACTAGATTGCAGTTCAGCTCATTGTTCAGCTGTGGTCTGCTTCTGCTTCCATCAGCTACTAAATGAAGGCTCTAGGATATAAGGTAGGCATCAATCTCATTATCAGAGAAGGGCATTTAAGGTGGCCTCTCTACTGTTGCTTAGATTGTTAGTTGGGGTCAAACTTGTAGATCTCTGGGCATTTCTCTAGTTGCAGATTTCTCTTTAAACCTATAATGGCTCCCTCTACTATGGTCTCTCTTTTCTTGCTCTCCTCTATTCTTTGCCTGACTCAACCTTCCTGCTCCCTCCTGTCCTCCTCTCCCCTCCTCTTCTCCCCTTTTCATTCTCCTAGCTCCCTCTCCCCTCCCCCATACTCTCAATTTGCTCAGGAGATCTTGTTGCTTTCCCCTTCTCTGGGGACCATGTATGTCTTTCTTAGGGTCCTCCTTGTTTCCTAGCTTCTCTGGCAGTGTGGACCATAGACTGGCAATCTTTGTTCTATGTTTAAAATCCATATATGAGTGAGTACATACCATGTTTGTCTTTTTTGACTGGGTAACCTCATTCAGGATGGTTTCTTCTAGTTCCATCCATTTTCCTGCAAATTTCAAGATTCCATTGTTTTTTTTCTGCTGAGTAGTATACTATTATGCAAATGTACCACATTTTCTTCATTCATTCTTCAGTTGAGGGGCATCTAGGTTGCTTCCAGATTCTGGCTATTACAAATAATGCTGCTATGAACATAGTTGAACAGATGTCTTTGTTATATGAATGTGCATCTTTTAGGTATATGCCTAAGAGTGGAATTGCTGGATCTTGTGGTAGACTGATTCCCATTTTCCTGGGGAACTGCCATACTGACTTCCAAAGTGCATGAATGAGTTGGCACTCCCACCAGCAGTGGAGGAGTGTTTCCCTTTCTCCACATCCTCTCCAGCATAAACTGTCATTGGTGTTTTTGATTTCAGCCATTTTGACAGGAAGAAGATGGTATCTCAGAGTTGTTTTGATTTGCATTTCCCTGATGGCTAAGGATGTTGAACACTTTCTTATGTGACTATCAGCCATTTTAGACTCCTCTTACCTAGTCCTCAGTGTAACTCACCTTGCTGAAGAGTGGGTCTGAAAAATAAGTCCTGGGGGATATGTTTTCAAAAATGTAATCTACAAGTTCTTATGGCAGATCATGTATCAATCACTAAGGCAACAACTAAGAAGCAAGTAAAGAACAGAATAAGAAAAAAAAGAGAATTCTCTATTTAATTCTGTACCCTACTATTTAATTGGATTATTTGCTGTTTTGGTGACTAGCTTCTTGAGATCTTTATAAATTTTGGAGGTCAGCCCTCTGTCAGATGTGGGGCTGGTGAAAAGATATTCACTACAAAGGTTTTTAAACTTTGGGAATTTCTGAGTTTGTTCTTTAGGGTTATATAAATATTGGTTTTGATGGTCCTGACTTACTTGCTAAATTATTAATTCTTCAGTCAAGAATATATGTACATATTTTCTAAAACTGACATTTAAAATGTTTTATTCACAAAATAATACGTTCTTTTGTTGAGATAGTTTTGAGAATAAAATAATATTTTTCATTCTTAAGTAGTTTGCTCATTTTCAGATATCTCTACTCACATACTACAACAAAAGACCTACAGTGGCATTATTTTCATCTGTTGCTGTACCTGATAGATCTCTCAAGTGACAAATTTGATACTAAATAGCTTTAGATTCAAGGAAATCATCAGATACATACTCATTTGTGATAATTAACATTCACTTTTAAAACTAATTTGGTGAGTGATTTACTGGTGCTTCAGGTTGTTACAAATACTACTACAAATCTTCAATGATGTGATGAAACAAACACATCTCACAACACAAATGTAATTCAAACTTATCCTGACTGTCTAATTCATTTCACAATTACAGACCTGGCAGAACACAAGAAGAAATGAAAAATCGAACATCTGTAAGGGAGTTTATTCTTTTGGGATTAACAAATGACCCAAAACTAAACATTTTAGTTTTTATATTCTTATTTCTCACTTATATTTTGAGCATTACTGGAAATCTGACCATTATTACCCTCACTCTGGTAGACTCACACCTCAAGACACCCATGTATTTTTTCCTTCGGAATTTCTCCTTCCTAGAAATCTCATTTACAACAGTTTGCATTCCTCGGTTCCTTGTGAGCATTGTGACAGGGGACATGACCATCTCCTATAATTCTTGCATGGCCCAGGTGTTCTTCTTCATACTCCTGGGTTCAATTGAATTTTTCCTTCTGGCTGCCATGTCCTATGACCGCTATGTGGCCATCTGTAAGCCCTTGCATTACACCACCATCATGAGCAGCAGGGTCTGCATTCAGCTCGTAGTAAGCTCCTGGCTGGCTGGATTTCTCATCATCTTTCCACCTGTGATCATGGGGCTTCAGCTGGACTTCTGTGACTCCAACATCATTGACCATTTTGCCTGTGACTCCTCTCCCATGCTGCTCATCTCCTGCACAGACACAGCCTTCCTAGAGATGTTGGCATTCTTCCTGGCAGTATTCACTCTCATGGTAACCTTAACATTGGTGATTCTCTCCTATCTATTCATCCTTAAGACAATTCTAAGAATCCCTTCTGCTGAGCAAAGGAAAAAGGCCTTCTCTACCTGTTCCTCACACATGATAGTTGTCTCCATCTCCTATGGAAGCTGCATCTTCATGTATGTCAAAACTTCAGCAAAGGAAGGAGTGGCTTTGACGAAGGGTATCGCAGTGCTCAACACCTCTGTTGCCCCAATGTTGAATCCTTTTATTTACTCCCTTAGAAACAAACAGGTGAAAGAATCCTTTAAGAACTTGATCAAAAAATGTGTGTCAAATAAAATTTAATGGTAAAAAAATTCACTGCTTCAGTTTTTTAAAAACTGTGTGTGTGTATGTGTGTGTATGTGTGTATGTGTGTGTGTGTGTTTGCATTATTGTATTTCCCTATTTACTGCTTTTTCAACTTAGCTGAATGTTATTTTGACATGATTTTTTTATTTTAAAACAATCTTTTCTCATGCTATATTTTGAAAGTTGTGAGATAGTATACTTTAAGCCTTCTCAAAACAAAAATGATGAATATGTGTGATATAACATGTTAATTGGTTTAATTTAGCCATGCCACTGTGAACATACTGTATTCTGTATCATAATTGTGCATGACTTTATTTATGAACTAAATAAATAAATGAAAAAAAATCAAGAATCAGAACAAAGCTTATAGGACCCTTCCAATACCTCCTGAACTACCGGTTAATAATGGATTCTGGGGAAAGGGTAGAAGTCATTGTCTTCAGTTGTCTATCTTTGAGAATTCTACTATATTCAAGGTGACAATACCAAATTCATAATCACAAAAAAGACATAATTTGCCTCAAAATGGTAACTGAATGAGAGATTTAAGCTATATGTAATCAGTTAATGTATTTAAATTAAATCAAACTGCAAGTCAGCAGTGATTATATTCTTTTAATATTTTAATTGTTATTTATTATGAAAGTCATACAACTCAGAGTGTCGTTTTAGCTTTATGCCACAAAACTCCACAAGAATTGGTAGCATCTCACTGTAAAATGATTGCACTGATGTAAAACTGACATAAGTCAGCTTAAGTCATATTACATCATTGTTTTAGATTCTTAGGCAACATTTTCATGATGAGCAAGGCTTCAAACTCAAATAAAGGCAATGATATTTCCTGAGGAATGGAATATTATCAGATGATGGAAGAGGGAGGATCTGGTTTAAATGAAACTTAAACTATTGATTTGCTGACAAGAAGATGAAGAAATACTATTTCTGAATTTTGTTTTATAATTTGTCAATATATCATGCAAAATTGTCTGAAAGGAGAGGGCAATGAGGAGGATAAATTGAAGTTTGAGATGAGGATGGAATTGAGTAGACTAGAAAAGTATGTCTTGTCAGCAGAGATTGAATTCACTGGGATTTGATGTTCACTGATTTTTTAAATAGTCAGTCAACAGCTTTAATTATGTCATTTGCTGCTTAGCTTTCAAATGAGTCCCTTAATGAATGAAAAAAATAGATTTCCAATTAAACTAATACTGAATAGGGTCAAATGCATTTGTTAGAAGAAGATAGAGTGCAATGATTGGATGGTGCATTAAAGTGAATAAAAAAAACAATCTTTTCTCATTTTACATACCAATCCCAGTTCCCACTCCTTCCCATTCCCCTTCTCTCCCCAAATTTCCCCCACCCCACCCCAACCCCATCCACTCCTCAGAGAGGGTAAGGCTTCCAATAGGGAGTCAACAAAGTCTGGCACCTCTCTTTGAGGCAGGACCAAGGCCCCGTGCCTTACCTAGGCTGAGAAAGGTACCCCTCCAAAGAGAATGGGCTCCAAATTGCCAATTCAAACACTAGGGATAAATCCTGGTCCCACTGCCAGTGGCCTCACAGCTCAAGTCACACAAGTGTCACACACATTTAGAGGGCCCAATTTGGTTCCATGCAGGAGTCAAATTGAAAACACTGATATTAACTAACACGCCTATGAACACTTTATTTTTGATGAAGAAGCTAAATCTATACAATGGAAAAAAGAAAACATCTTTAACAAATGGTGCTGGCACAACTAGATTCTGACATGCAGACGATTGCAGATAGATCCATAAATATCACCATGCACAAAACTTAAGTCCAAGTGAATGAAAGACCTCAACATAAATCCAGCCACACTGAACCTTCTAGAAGAGAAAGTAGGAGATAACCTTGAACGAGTTGGTACAGGAGACTGCCTCGTGAATATAACACCAGTAGCACAGACATTGAGATCTACAATTAATAAATGGGACCTCCTGAAACTAAGAAGCTTCTGTAAGGCAAAGGACACAGTCAGTCAGACAAAAAGACAGCCCACAGAATGGGAAAAGATCTTTATCAACCCCACATCTGACAGAGGGCTGATTTCCAAAATATGCAATGAACTCAAGAAGCTGGCCACCAAAAGAGCAATCAATAAAATTAAAAAGTGGAGTGCAGAATTCAATAGAGAATTCTCAACAGAAGAATCTGAAATGGCTGAAAGACACATAAGAAAGTACTCAAAATCCTTATCCATCAGAGAAATGCAACTCAAAACAACTATGAGATACCAGTTTACACCTGCCAGAATGGCTAAAATAAAAAACACCAATGACAGTCTATGCTGGAGGGGATTGGAGAAAAAGGAACACTCCTCCATTGCTGGTGGGAGTGAAAACTTGTAAGACCACTTTGGAAATCAGTATGGTGTTTGCTCAGGAAAATGGCAATAAGTCTACCTCAAGATCCAGCAATTTCTCTCTTGGGCATATACCCAAATACTACACATTCATACAACAAGGACATCTGTTCAACCATGTTCATATCATCATTGTTGTCATAGCCAGAACCTGGAAGCAACCTAGATGCCCCTCAACTGAAGAATGGATAGAGAAAATGTGGTACATTTACACAATAGAATACTACTCAGCAGAAAAAAGCAATGGAATCTTGAAATTCACAGCCAACTGGATGGAATTAGAAGAAACCATCCTTAGTGAGGTAACCCAGTCACAAAAAGACAAACACGGTATGTACTCACTCATATATGAATTTTAGACATAGAGCAAAGGATTACCAGGCTACAGTCCACTCCACCAGAGAAATTAGTAAACAAGGAGGACTCTAAGAGAAAAATTCATGGACCCCAGAGAATGGGAAGGGGCAGGATCTCATTTGCTAATTGGGAGCATGAGGGTAGGGGAGAGGGAGCTGACAGAATGAGGGGAGGAGAAGAAGAGGGGAAAGGAGAAAATGAAGGAGCAGAAAGGTTGAGTCAAGGGAAGAATAGAGGAGAGCAGGATGAGAGATACCATAACAGAGGGAGCCATTTTAGGTCCGAGGAGAGATCTGGAAAAAGGGAAATTTCCAGAGATCTACAAGGATGACACCAACTGACAATCTAGGCAATGGTGGAGAGGCTACCCTAAGTGCCCTTCCCCTATAATGAGACTGATTACTACTTTATACACCATCCTAGAGCCCTCATCCATTGGGAAGACACCCACAGCTATACACTGAACTGAACTCTGGAACCCAGTGTCAGAGAGGGAGGAATGAAGATCAAAGGGGTTGATACCAGGCCGATGAAACCCACAGAAACAGTTGGCCTGAACAAGGCGGGGAGCACATGGACTCCAGACTGCTGTCTGGGAGGCTAGCACAGAACTGATCCAGACACCTGAATGTGGATGTCAATGAGGAGGCCTCTGTACTCTATGGGGCCCCTGGTGGTAGATCAGTATTTTTCCCTGGTGTAAGAAGGGACTTTGAGAGTCTATCCTACATGAAGCGATGCTCCCTTGGCCTGGACACAAGGAGGAGGGCCTAGGCCAGGCCCAGGATGATGTGGTGGACTTTGGGGAGCCCCTTTGGAGGGCCCGACCCTCCCTAGGATGCAGAGGGGGTTATGGGGTGGGGGGCTGGTGGTGGTTTGTGGGGGAGGGGAGAGAGAGGGAGAAGGGATTGACATGTGAAGTAAACTTGTTCCTAATTTGAACTAACAAAAAATAAGCAATCTGAGCAATTCCATTGAAAACTCTATTGTTATTATTGATAGAAAACTTTGTCTATTTCCACTAATAGCAGTACACTAATTATAAAATATTGCCATGTTTACAAGTAAAAAAAAAGAAAGAAAGGAAGTACTCAAAATACTTAGCCATCAGAGAAATGCAACTCAAAACAACTCTGAGATACCCCCTTACACCAGGCATAATGGCTAAAATCAAAAACACCAATGACAGCTTGTTCCAAATTTGAACTAATAATAATAATAATAATAATAATAATAATAATAATAATAATAATAAGTGAAATAAGTATAACTCCAGGTAAGTTTACTGAGAATTAATGAGGTAAGAAACCCATAACTAAATATTTTCATAATAAATTTTAGCTTCTTTTCCCTCATCATCTTATTTCTAGACTTTTTAAAAATTAGATTCTAGAGTTTAGAACATTGATTTGGAGCCAGGAACAGTGGCTTAGTCCTTTAATCTCAGCACTAAGGAAGCCGAGGAAGGTAGATCTTTGACAGTTTCAGGCCAACCTGGTCTACATAGTGAAATCCAGGACAGCCAGGGCTACTTAACAGAGCTACTCCATCTCAAAAATTCTTGATTCTGCAATCTTTCTAGCTTAACAGTTTATTCAGTTTGGTGACTAATCTTTTGAATTCCCTGATCTAGTATTATTTTATTTATCCCAGGTTTAAATATTTAGTCTGATAATGGACAAAAATATCATTTTATGGATTTTTTTGTTTTTTGAGACAGGGTTTCTCTGTGTAGCTTTGGAGACTATCCTGGCACTGGCTCTGGAGACCAGGCTGGCCTACAAATCACAGAGATCTGTCTGCCTCTGCCTCCCGATTGCTGGGATTAAAAGCATGTGGCACCAACACCCGGCCCATTTTATGGATTTTTCCTGAAGTAATAGTCTGGACAAAGTGGATATGGTGTTCTCCAAGTGAACATTTTCTTAGAGTTTTGGTTGAACCTATTTCTATTTTTTATTTCTTTTTTATTCATTTTTCTATTTGAATTAGAAACAAGATTGTTTTACATGTCAATCACAGTTCCCTCTCCCTCCCCTCCAACCCTACCACTTCCAACTAAAATCCTACCTATCACATATAATTTCTGCTCCGTAGGGAGGGTGAGGCCTTTCATAGGGGGTCATCACAGTCTCTCATATCCTTTGGAATAGGGCCTAGGCCCACCCCCAGGTGTCTTGGTTCAGGTAGTATCCCTGTATGTGGATTGGGCTCCCAAAGTCAAAACCTATGATAGGGA